GCCGACCAAGGGCAAGATGGATGGATGGCATCCTTGAAGTGACTGGACTGACCTTGAGGGAACTGGGGGTGGTAACGGCCGACAGGGAGCTCTGGCGTGGGCTGGTCCATGAGGTCACGAAGAGTCGGAGACGACTGAACGAATGAACAACAACACAACTTCTAGAAGCTTGATACTGTAGATATATATGCTTATAAAAGATTTACTATGTTTATATCCTATATGAATGATAGATAATTATAATAAATATTTACATGTGCATTACTAATATATTAACAAATGAAATTAACTTTAAGACATGTATATAGTTGACTGCCATTAAGAGTAAAAGAAACAGAGTTTGAATAAGTTAATTGCTAAAATAAGGAGAAGGAATATTTACTCTGCAAATTTGAAAGAGAGGAAAAAAGAAGAAGGGACAATAGAAGAAGATTAAAGAAACTAATGTAGATCCAGAAGGACAACTTGGTACTCTTGTCAGAAAAAAATGTTAAAGTTGATTTTTTTCTCCTTTTACTTCATTTCCTTCCTTTATTAAGGAACTAGCTTGGGCATCCGGTGTTGCCTGGGTTATTTGAAAAAGTCATTTTTAATTGTCCAAAATACATAAGGTTGTGGGTGAACTGCAACTCACATCACGTCAGTTTAATCCCGAAAAGCTCCATCAGTACTTAAAGTTTGTTATGTTGGGCATGTTTGCTCTAGATGCATCATTGCTGGGATTCAGTGTGCTCTCTGACTGCAAGGTAAACTACAACTCCCACTATGGTGAGTCAGTCCCCTCAAACCATTCCAGTAGGTTGAGTTAGTAATGCGGATTCTGTGTGCCAAGTTTGGCCCAGGTCCATCATCGGTGGAGGTCACAGTGTTTCTGGTTGTGGGTGAACTACAACTCCCAAAAAGAAGTTGTAGTTCACCCCCAAAACTCTCCCAGTAATCAAATTTCAGCATATCAGGTTTGTGTGCCAAGTTTGGTCCAGATCCATCAGTGTTTGGGTTCACAGTACTCTCTTGATGTAGATGAACTTCAACTCCCCCAAATCAAGGTGAATTCCCCCCAAAGACCTCCAGTATTTTTTGGTGGTCATGGGGGTCTTCATGCCAAGTGTGGCCCAATTACATCTTTGGTGACGTTCAGAGTGCTCTTAGATTGCAAGTGAACTATACATCCCAGTACCTACAACTCGTATAAATCATGGTGATCCCCAACCCTCTGTAGTATGTTCAGTTGCTGATCGATTCCTCTGTTTGCTGTGTGCCAAAGAAAATAACAGGAAAGGGTTAAGGGATAGGCAGTGGGTGGGGTCATGTAAATTCCACACCAATGGAGAGAGTAAGAAACAGTGGGATGTCTGTGATGGAGGAAAAACATAAAATCTAGGATGAAATTGACTCAGAATGAAAGCCTTCACTTGGGTGGTGGGCAGTATGTTTGTGGAGGACATTGGCAGGGTTCTTGGACATGTTTACGGCACTCAGTGTCATTGGAGGGACATTTGGTGTCTCCTAAGTAGAGGGAGCTATAGCTGTTTGTGGAGGCAGGAGCTTGTGTGTGTAAGTGGATAGCCCAGACACACACACATACATATTTTCACTTTTATTCACTGTGTATAGATATGTATAATGATTATTCCCCCCCCCCCACCAATATTGTCAATAAAACCTTGTTTTAGGGTTCCTGTAAGTTGGAAACAATGAAAGCACACAGCAGCACCTCATTACAAAGCCAGCAGAGTAAAAATAAAGATAGGACTAAGATCAAATCAGAAAAAATGGAGAGAAAAAGACTGATCGAATAGTATATATGGGTGTTTAACATGCCTGTTCTTTTAATGTATGCAGTCTGTTGAGGAAAATATCAGCAGTTCCCACTGATGCGGGCAGGCAGTTAAGGAGCTGTGCAAAGGACTCTTCCAAAAGCCTTTAGGTCGTGGTGCCACCTAGCGGCACAGTGTTGAGCCTTGAAGGTCGCGTCTGCTCTATGAATAGAACAAACCTTTGGACACTTCTGCTCTGTTCTGCCCAATGGACTTGCCTGAACAAGTCCGATACTTTCAGAAGTGAACTCTTATTACCTTGGAGATGTTTTGAATGCAATTTTCCTACTTCTTGGCAGGGGTTGGACTGGATGGCCCACGAGGTCTCTTCCAACTATATGATTCTATGATTCTATAATGAAAAGATGTATTGTTGTGGTCCCCTTTTGTAATAGGATTACAGTGGCAATATGCAATCCTGAAATTAAACTTGCAACACTTCATACAAGTTTAAAGGGTGTGTGAGTGAAAGAATGCAGAGCAGCCATAGGAGATGGAGAAACCTATCTGAATGGGAGACCAAGATGTTTAAAGGGAGAGCAGATGTATTTTTGGGCAACTGAAATGACACTTCTGAAACTCTGCTGTTTTTTTGTGCATTGGTTGTTCCTAACAGTTCAAAGAGATATCCAGGCATATCAGTCTATCAGCTGAAAAACCTAATTTGCCTTCTTCTTTTTTATTATACACTGGTTTAGGTGCAATATCTTTTCCTGTAGTTTGAATCCACTGCTCCATATGGAGCAGTGGAAAACGAGCCTGCTCCATCTTGAATATGACATCTTTCCAAATATTTTAATGTGGCTATCATAAATGTCTCTTCTCCATGCTAAACATAACCGGCTTCTCACAAGGTATGGCTAGATTAAAACTCATATACCTGGAAGGCCATAACTGTGCTAGAACACATGCTTTGCATGGTGGAGAGCTCCAGGAAAATCTCTAACAGAGCGAGTGTTTAATTCCTATATATCCCACTTCTTTCATACGCAACCCAAGGCAGCTTATACCGTTAGTTAAAAAAAATAGCAAGACCAACCTGTGGCACAGCAAAATTAACAAGTATTAAACAGTAATGTCAGGTTTTCCTCTGACATTAAGTCCAGTCGTGTCCAACTCTGGGGGTTGGTGCTCATCTCCATTTCTAAACCGAAGAGCTGACATTGTCCGTAGACACTTCCAAGGTCATGTGGCCAGCATGACTGTATGAAGTGCTGTTAAACAATAACCCACTATAAAAACATGAATTTAGAACAGTTAAAAGGCCTGGGCAATGCATGGTTCTAAATGGTTCTAAAGTACTTACAAAACTAAAGTTCTGGTGGTGAAAATTTCAGAACTCTAACAAAAAATTCAAAATTTAATTATTATTTCATTATTGGCAATTTTTATGACAGAACCAATTAGGAACTGCCATTGACAATGAAATGTTGAGAGTCTTGTTAGAGTTTTGAAATTTTCACCACCAGAACTTTAGTTTTGTAAGTACTTTAGAACCATTTAGAACCATGCATTGCCCAGGCCTACAATCTATTTAATATTATGAGCCAGAACACCTGCTGCACGACAACAACCAGTTTAGCACTTGAAGTCCTATTTATCTTTGTCTGTGGATAGAAAGAGAGCAGAAAGGGGACCAAGACAGCATTCAAAAATGTAAATGGAGTTGAATGCCTAATTCAGACAGGAAAATTCTACTGTGAAGGTGTCTCTCTTTGCTGTTGTGAATCTTTTGTTGAACTTTGGATTGAATCAATAGAATGCATTAAATAAAATTCCGACAAGCTCAGTTGACTCAGTGGGTACTCTTTAACTGGGACTAATAATAAGATTGAGGGCAAGGGGGTCTGGATAAAGGGTAATTTTTCAGTTTTTAGGACTGAATTAATTTTGCAGAGTGCAGCCGGTCAGAAGTGTGTTGCTCGTTCAAACACATCTGAAATGATGGCATCTCCTAGTACCTTGAGCTGACACAGCTCAAGTAGAGTGATGGTACAAGTAGCAGTCCAACGTAATCTGTAAGGTTGCATTGTTTTAAATTATGCAGAATTGCCAGGAGTCATTGCTACATGCAGTGCTTAACTTAATGTTGGTTGAAGTGCTTATGGGATTGTGACTCTCATGCCAGCATTGGGTTTTGATTGGACAATACTTTTTTCCCCCTTGCAATTCAGTTTGTTGACACAGATGTGTTGTGGGGAAAATACACTTCTATTGGAATAACACGATATGTAAGACATATCTTGGTATCCTTGCTGTTAGCAAAACTCAAGTTCTGAAAGCGTAGCTAGTTCACCGATGCACAGTTAATATGTCAATAGGACTGTCGTTTGTCGTTTAAATAGCCCTTCACTAGTAGATGGCACAAGCTGCTTTTGCGAATTGGATTGTGCCTTTATTATGGCTCGAGCAGGCAATAGGATTGCTTGTGTTTCTGAGTGATGCATACCAAAACTATGTTATGTAAAACTCTTGTGTGCAGGTACAGGATCCAGTCAGATTTATGCTTTCATTGAGGTTTGCCCAGATCAGGTTCAGCTGAGATTCATCTGCAGAGGATTTGCAAAGAGAAAGAGAGGCCTTAGAAATGTGCAAATAGGACTTGTCCAGAATGGAAGAGCATCGGAAAATGCACCATATTGAAAGTGAGGACAGAATTCTGTACACTGTAACAATATTCTAATACCACATTACTAAAACATGTGACATAAACCCAAACATTTCTATTAAATGTGATACTGTAATTGTATATTCAGAAGGACTGTATCAGGTTTACAGGGGAACTCTTTGCCATTCACACCCTATTACTTGCACGTGGGTTGCAACAACGTAGTTGCTGCTGTTTGTCTACTTGTTTCACTTTTAGATTTCTTGTTTTTATAGTTACATTGATAGCTATTGTTATACCTCATGCAGAATTACACCAAAATGCTTTTATTGTGAATCGACTAATGATTAGGAATGAGACTAAGACTAAGAGTTCATTCATTTTTTCCTGTTTACCCTTCTTCATTTTGGTTTCCATGTTCATTGAATTTTAGATTGGATACTCCTGTGAGCAAAGGCTTGTGCTTTAATACTCCATAATAATTAAAACAAAAATGCAGGATTTACATTCCGAAATTGTAATGATTCCCTTTTGTTTTCTTTTGTGTGATCACAGCCCTATTGTTTTCATTACAGGAATTGACTATAAGACCACAACTATCCTGTTAGATGGCAGAAGGGTCAAACTGGAGCTGTGGTAAGTTTGCATTTCTCACATGATAGGTCTATTAGATAAGAGGCATCAACTTTGTTTTGGGGAGATGTTCCCAAATATATATTTCTTGTAATATTCTTGTATATACTCATGTACAAATCAACTTCATGTATAAGTCAAGGGCATGTTTGGGACCCGAAAGAGGGACTTTTCTTTAGCCTATGGATAAGTCGAGAGTCAAAATTATGTTGTTGTTCATTCGTTCAGTCGTCTCCGACTCTTCGTGACCTCATGGACCAGCCCACGCCAGAGCTCCCTGTCGGCCGTTACCACCCCAGCTCCCTCAAGGTCAGTCCAGTCACTTCAAGGATGCCATCCATCCATCTTGCCCTTGGTCGGCCCCTCTTCCTTTTGCCTTCCACTTTCCCCAGCATAATTGTCTTCTCTAGGCTTTCCTGTCTCCTCATGATGTGGCCAAAGTACTTCAACTTTGTCTCTAGTATCTTTCCCTCCAGTGAGCAGTCGGGCTTTATTTCCTGGAGGATGGACTGGTTGGATCTGCTCGCAGTCCAAGGCACTCTCAGAACTTTCCTCCAACACCACAGCTCAAAAGCATCGATCTTCCTTCGCTCAGCCTTCCCTAAGGTCCAGCTCTCACATCCGTAGGTTACTACAGGGAATACCATGGCTTTGACTAGGCGGATCTTTGTTGCCAGTCTGATGTCTTTACTCTTTACTATTTTATCGAGATTGGACATTGCTCTCCTCCCAAGAAGTAAGCGTCTTCTGATTTCCTGGCTACAGTCTGCATCTGCAGTAATCTTTGCACCTAGAAATACAAAGTCTGTCACGGTCAAAATTATAGTAACAGACAAATAATTTCCTCCTTTTCACAAATGCACAGATGAAACACACTTAAGCAGGGCTAAAGAAAAGGAGAGGATTTGTTTATTGAGGACTTACAATGAGGGATTGGGTAAACTGCGTTCCTGATCTTCAAATATCTAGGTCTATACAAGTACAAATAGGGGAAAGAATATAAATGAGGAATTGAATGAGAATGCAGCCAGGAAAGAAGGGGGGGGGGGGCAAGGAAAATAACCTGGCTCTATTAGGGAGCCAGTGTAAAGCCAAAGGTGACAAACATCCCCATTCCATGACCCCTTCCTTGTCCAAACTGGAAAAAGAAATGCAATCCTACCTCCTTCCTGAACTGTTTTTCTATCCTAAGCAGTGTACATCATCATCATCATGAGTGTATACTGTATACTATGTAGATGAGGGAGTTTCCTAGTTGTCCCACCTTCTATGAACTGTCTAGAGAAGTTATCTAGTTGTCTTGCCTTTGTTGTTGTCATTATTTATTTGTTTACGATATTTCTACCCCACCTTTCTTGAACCCGAAGGTGACTCAAGGTGGCTTTACAACATAGGCAGCTATTCGATGCAATTAAAACAATGTAAAAATTACAATAAACATTTAAAACAGAATTATAAAATACATACATTAAAACCTTTAAAAACACTGCCTTCACTATTAGCTTCATCGTCCAAAAACATAGTCTAAGCCATTCCAGTATTTGATTTCACATAGTACCATGTTTATCCATTGCACTAGGTTCTTAAAGGCTTGCTCAAAAAGCCATGTTTTCACTTTTCTCCTGAAGGTCAGGAGGGAGGGGTTTGGTGTAATATCCTTGGGGAGGGAGTTCCACAGCCGAGGGGCCACCACTGAGAAGGCCCTGTCTCTCGTCCCTGCCAGTCACACCTGCAAAGAAGGTGGGACCGAGAGCAGGGCCGCCCCAGATTATCTTTAACTCCTTGATGGTCCAAATATTTGGACAAGTAAGCTGGACCAGAATTGTTTAGGGGTTTTATAGGCTAAATCCATCACTTTGAATTGTGCTCGGTAGCAAACCGGCAGCCAGTGGAGCTGGCATAGCAAGGGAGTTGTGTGCTTCTTGAACGCTGCTCCAGTGAGCAATGTGGCTAATGCCCGTTGGACCATTTGAAGCTTCTGAACAGTCTTCAAAGGCAACCCCACGTAGAGGACGTTGCAATAGTCTATACAGGATGTAACCAGAGCATGGACTACTGGGGCCAAGTCAGACTTCCCAAGGTACAGTCGCAGCTGGCACACAGGTTTTAATTGCGTGAATGCTTCTCTGGCCACCGCCGAGAACTGGGGTTCCAAGCTCAGCAATGAGTCCAGGAGAACTCCCAAGCTGCAAGCCTGTGTCTTCAGGGGGAGTGTAACCTGGGTGTGATCCTGGATTAATCGCTGAGCCTGGAACCCCAGGTCTCGGCGGTGACCAGGGGAGCATTTGCACAGTTAAAACTTGTGCGCCAGCTGCACCCATATCTTGAGAAGTCTGATCTGGCCACAGTAGTCCATGCACTGGTAACATCCCGTATAGACTACTGCAACACACTCTACATGGGGTTGCCTTTGAAGACTGTTCGGAAGTTTCAAATGGTCCAGCGGGCGGCAGCCAGGTTGCTAATGGGAACAGTGCTCAGGGAGCACACAACTCCTGTTTCGCCAGCTTCAGTGGCTGCCAGTTTGCTCCCAGGCACAATTCTTTTTTTCAAATTATTTTTTATTGTGCATAGGTTTTTACATAGAAAGTGGGTGAAAATAAGGGGATTAGAGAAAAAAGAAAAAAAGAGGAGGAAAGAAAAAAAAAAGAAAAAAGGGGGGGGGTGAGTTTGACTTCCATTCTTGTTCGTGGCAGTTCACTTATTTCATATTTTTAAATATTAATTCATGTGTAGTTTTGTGTATATATATTGTCTTTCTCTCTTTTTCTAGAGAATAATATCTTTCTTTATTTATGTCCCTTGATTTTGATTTCTATCTCAGTCTTTTTTCAATTCTTCTTTGAGATATTCTTCAAAGGGTTTCCATTCTGTTTGTTTTATATATGTTCCTGTACATTTCTTTAAGAGAAAAGTTTGTCCATATCTTTTATCTCCACTACTTTCTCAATCCATAGTTCTTTTGGCAGTATTTTCTCATTTTTCCAATGTTTAACGGGCACAATTCAAAGTGCTGGCTTTAGCCTATAAAGCCCTAAACAGTTCCGGCCCAGCTTACCTGTCTGAATGTATCTATCCCTATGAACCATCTAGGACTCTTAAGATAGACTGGGGAGGCCCTGCTTTAAGTCCTACCTCCTTCGCAGGTGCATCTGGCAGGGGTGAAAGACAGGGCCTTCACAGTGGTGGCCCCTCAGCTGTGAAACACCCTTCCTAAGGATATTAAATCGGCCCCCTCCCTCCTAACATTTTGTAAAAAAGTTAAAATTTGGCTTTTCGAGCAAGCATTTGCAAATGCAGTGTAACAGGCAAATATAGATCTATGGAACAACTGGACAATGCGAATTGGAAAATGATTTTAGTAAGGAGATGCTGAGGATGTATGATTTTATTGGGTTTGTATGGTTTTTATATTATATGCTAAATGTTTTTAATTGTATTTTATGTCTGCTGGGGCATTGAATTGTGCTGACTGTAAACCGCCTTGAGTCGCTTCGGGCTGAGAAAGGCGGTATATAAATACTGTAAACAAAAAAATAAAGCTCGTACAATACAATGTTTGTCCTCATCTAGACTATCATTAATAATGAATTAAGATCAAAACAAAACCTCCTAAAGCATAATGTATACGTTTACTGGTTACAAGACTTTGATCACTATTTTACATTTTAATTAAGCAGATGTGTGAGGAAAAGCAAGGAAAAGTTGGACAAGGAATTTGTCTTATTTCCTTATCCTCTTCTGTGGTTCCCAGATAACACTACTGCAGGCAGGGGTTCCAAGTCAGAAAGATTTGTGTGTTATACTGTTGATTGTAAATAAAACATTCTGTAGACAACACAATGGTTATCTAAGCAAATCATTTGCTAAAATGTGTCCCTGTGGATTGACAGTAATAAGAACAGTGTTGTGTCTTGGAGCTGTTTTGAAACTTACAGTTCCCTTTGGCTGCATTCCACAGAAGATCCAATCTCTCCGAGAAACCTGATAGAGGGGAATGGGGGGGGGGGGGGAGGCTTTCTGCTGTTTGTTATAGATCACTCCCAATCACTGAGTGCAGCGGGGGCCCAAGGCTCTGCCACGTGCACTGGCTAACCTGACCCGGGCTTGCTCTTCAGTAGGCACATGCTTAGGTCAGCACAGCCCTTTGCATAACTCCGCAGATGTCTGGCGATGCCCCTTAGTGTGCTGTAAAATTTAAATAGATTCAAAGACATGACTTAAACCTACACAGACTCTGTAACAGCTGGTATCCTTAATGCACCCTGTTGTCTGTTTACTACAGAACACATTGTACTCCAAAACAAGGTTCTAAGAATTGCATGAGGCACTGTTGGTGCCTGGAGTCACCATTGAGCGCGAGACCCAAACATGCCTTCTCCAGCCAGAAGCAGGTGCCTTGCTTTAGAATCATACAATAATAGAGTTGGAAAGGACCACATGGGCCATCTAGTCCAACCCCCTGCCATGCACAAAAAACATAATCAAAGCAACCCCAACAGATGGCCATCCAGCCTTTGTTTGAAAGCTTCCAGGGAAGGTGCCTCTCCTGGACTCAGCAGCAGAGAGTTCCGCTGTTGAACAGCTCTTCTTATAGTCAGGATCTATTTCCTCGTGTTCAGATGGAATCTCCTCTCCTGCAATTTGAACCCATTGCTTTGTAGTAGCTCTATACATAAGTAAAGAGAAGAGAGCTTTCCGTACTGCTGGATAGTACAGAAAGACTGTTTCCAAAACCTTTCTTCTGTTACATGACAGAGGTGGGTGAGGCCAGCAAGTTGATCTCCATTCTGCATGTTCCTGGGCTCAAGGTCCTATAAGGCATTCTCTGTTCACCAGCCTGTGTCAATACATAAAAACACATGATAACTCATTACCCAAGCTTGTCTAGGGGAAGCCCATAAGCAGACACAACAACAGGGTACCACCAGGGTATACAAAGCTTTCTGCTACTACAAGTAATTTATAGCCCTCAGGACTGGTAGCCAGGGGTAGCTCCATTTCCATGATCTCACCCCTTGAAAGAAGGTGAGATAAATCCTATTGTTACTTAATAATTTGTAAGTAAAATGTGTGTGTGCCTTTTTCTGTGGAAGACAAATCAATCATGTTTGTTCACAAGACACATGCATTAAATATGCTGTATTTCTTCAGTTGTAAGATGCAATCAATTGTAAAATGCATCCTTAATTTCAGTACTAACAACAACAACAAAATACGTGATACACCTGTGATTATAAAATGTACACCATTTTTAGATGTTTATCTTAGAATGGAAGAAATGTAGTATCTGGCACAGAAACAAAGGAGAGAAGCCAGAGGAGGCTTTTAAGGCACTGGATAGGAGAATGCACCCTGCACAAGCCTCGTAACTTTAAGAACCTAGGCTTATGTCCTGCCTAGTTCATCATTCTGTCCACACACTGGCCAACCAGTTGAGCATGGTAACTTACTGTATATGGAGCACTTGATGAAGTGTCCATAAAGAAGTAGAGTTGCATCATGTGTTTGTTTTTATTTCCAGGGATACATCAGGCCAAGGGAGGTTTTGTACCATTTTTCGATCGTATTCTAGAGGTGCTCAGGTGAGTCCTGCTTGGCTTCTGTTACTTCTCTCCAATCCAGTGCATTTGTGCCATTGGATATCGCAGTTTGTTAGTTTCTTAAACTTTGCAGGTCTACAGAAAGGCTGGAAGAGGTTTTGATTGTATTTTGGGTCAGTCTTTGAGGACTCTTCACCTCCCACTTTTGTGAAACCAAAGAGAGGAGCAAGGTTTCCAGCCATCCAGCAAGACTAAAGAATGTGGCACAAACTGGGTATAACAGACAGCTGTGGGTGTCTGTCTTTCATGATCGGCTTTTAAAGCAAATCTTTGGAGTTTTAAAAGTCATCACAGAAATAAAATGTGGGGAAAATTAACTTGTACCTGTTTTTCAGCTCAATTCCCCATTCCAATCTACTTCACTATGTCTTTTCACTTCAAAGAGAAAAGCAGAAGGGGAAAAAAATCAAATGAAAAGGGACTACAAACAGTTTCTCTCTGCCTTTCCTTTACAAATCTGGAGCCTTTTAAAACTGCTTTTGGAGACAGAGGGGTGTTTTTACATTGGGGATGGTATAAGCATCTGTTTTTAGTGAAATCTGGCCATGTATTCTTAGATGTATTTTACTGATCCCGCTAAAATAATTATCAGTGCTCACTTGCTGACAGTCACTCAAAGACAAAACTCATTGGGTTTTTTTCCTGCTCCCTCTTTTTATGAAACATTCATGGACAATGTTAGTCCAGATTTGCAGATAATAAGCTTCTCAGCTTACATTCTTTTTTCTGTGAAGGCCAGTTTAATGCAACTAGATCATAGATGTAAATCAAATGTGAGTAAAAAATAATAACACTTGTTGAACTGACCTTTATATTTCTAACACCCAGTACCAGAATTCAGAGCCAAACCTCTTGTTTTCAAATAACACCTGCATAGATCACAGCAATAGAAAATGTGTTTTGAGCTATGTATATTGATACTGAAGTATATGTATGTAGATAGATACCTTGACTGTATTTTGTTCTCTGTTGTCTTTCCCGAAGTTATTGAATATCAAAAAATCATAGAGTTGGAAGAGACCATAAGGGCCATCAAGTCCAACCTTATTCTACTATGCACAATCAAGGCATTCCTGATAGGTGGCTGTTAAGCAGAGGTTGGATAGTAAGAGTTCAGTTTGACAGGGGAATACACTGCCTCGCAGTGTCAAACAGCTCTTACCATCAAGATGTTTTTCTAAATATTCAGGTGAAATAGCATGCCCTATAACACATTCCTTCTGAATTATGATGTTCAAAATCAGTCAAGACCATTGGTTTGTTTGTTTGTTTTTTTTTGGGGGGGGGGGGGTGGGGAGGCTGGCCACTAGTTAAGTCATAAGAGAACCAGCTGAGTATTTGTAAACTCTAAAATACTCCAAAATTGTTCTCATTGGGTGTTTGAGATAGTGACCCTTTCACTTTCTGATGGTTCAATGTATGTAAACTTTACTCCATGTCCCAAATTATTAAAATTTTTGCATAATGCATGCCTGCAGTCTACAGGAGTTGTGCAGCTGCGTTGCCCTTTAGCAGGAGCACTTTAACACAGCACTTTGGCAAATAGGCAACCTCTATCTCCTTTTGTTTATTTATTCTTGCTTTTAACATGAAAGCCATTCATTCAGTGTTTTGTTCCACAAAGGGAATCCTCCTGGTATATGACATCACCAACCGCTGGTCCTTTGACGGAATTGACCGATGGATCAAAGAAATAGATGAGGTAAGAATGCCAAAACCCAGACAATGTCCATCTGTCACAACTAAAGTCAGGATGTGATTAGAAGTCCTTTGGATCCCAGCTAGAATGTTAACTTTGAAGCAAACCTTTCATCTTGCAGAAACATTGCCATCATATAAACTGGCATCAGAATAACGAACTTGAGAGTTTGAACACTGACAGGAATATAAATTGCTGAAGAAAGATGTTTGTATTGAAAGCTTTGTGAGATCTTTGCTTGAGGAAAGGATAAGGATTCCAGCTTTGGAAATATAGGAGGGTCTTCTGACATTCACTTCAAATCTTTAGTGGCAGAGCCGTAAAACTGATCTTAAAGATGTGTCATGTTCTCTTGTTCAAAGCATGCTCCTGGTGTGCCCCGTATCTTGGTTGGAAACCGGCTTCACCTGGCCTTTAAGAGACAGGTGCCGACAGAGCAGGCCCGATCCTACGCGGAGAAAAATTGCATGACGTTCTTCGAGGTCAGTCCCCTGTGCAACTTCAATGTGATCGAGTCCTTCACTGAGCTGTCTCGCATCGTGCTTATGAGGCATGGCATGGAAAAGATCTGGAGGCCCAACAGAGGTGAGTGAGTGAGCACCAGTGCCTTTGGTTCTGCCCTCCCAGTACAAATTGTGGGTCCACACATTCCTTCCTTTTTCTAGGATTTCAGGACAAGGATGCCTAGCAATCTGGCCATTGTTCTTTGAACACAAGAGTATATGTGAATTGCCCTGAGTGGGAATTAACTAACTTATGATTTGCTCCTTAATATTAATTAGCTCAATAGTGACAAGTATACAAATAATACTCTCCTCTGCAAAAAAAAGTAGAATGTTCTAAAGATTACTCCCGTCCCCTTTCATTTTCACCAAAACATTCTGTTTATAAAGCTAAGTTGGTACTAGAGCTTTGATATGTTTTTAATAATCTGAAAGATTATTTATAATTGATATGTATATGTTTTTACAGTTCTATAATATTGTATTTACTGCTACTGCTACTGGTATTTTCTGAATCTGGCATTGAATTATTGCCATAGTTTGTAAACTGCCTTGAGTCTCCCTTCGAGGGTGAGAAGGGTGGGGATATAAGTATAGTAAATAAATAAATTGTGAATTGCTTTGATTTGTTTGGTGCAGTTCTCCTAAAGTTAGCTCTGATCTACATGCTTGGCATCGTAATGATCATTTGTTTTTTATACTTATATAACATAATTAGCATTGTCATTATCCATATCAGGGTTCTAGAATGATAGATAGGAAGGGGCTACAAGGGCCATCTGCCACCACCGTCATTTTCATGTATTTTTGTATCGCTGTACACAGTACTTACAAGGAAAAGAACAGTAAAACAGTTCTCTGCCTTCAATCCTACAGTGTAGTCCATTCCCTGCCATATTTGTGAGTCTCTTCTTAAAACTTGATGTTTGCAGAGGCTCATTGGATTAGACAATTCCCTGGACAACTGGCCATAACTATGATCTAAGTCTTGTCCTTGCACCTTACCACTTTCCTATGCAAAGTCTTAATTATCTAGTTGTAATTATCTTATCCATTTGCTGCTTTATCACCTATGCACTTTACTCGTTAGACCTACCTTTAAATTGTTGTGCACCAGACCGTCCTCCTAAAATGAGACCTGAATTATACTATTGATGGTTGCTCCTTTTATTGTTGTTATAACGTTGCTTATGTTGTTTTTATATTGATTATTGCATTTTCTACATGTTATGTTTTAACTGTCAACTGGGCATGGCCCCATGTAAGGCGCCCTGAGTCCAGTCTTGGAAGATGGAGGCAGGGTATAAAAATAAAATTATTATTATTATTATTATTATTATTATTATTACAACAACCTGATGATGTGATGTTGAGCCAGATCAGGGCGCTTGGCAGACTGGCTGCTCTCTCTCTCTCTCTCTCTCTTTGTGCGATGCTGTAAACCTCTATTGCCAGAAGATGGCATAGCAAACTGTCTTTGGAAGAGATCTGCTTTGACTTTGAAGCAGTGAGTTTGCTCAGGTTAAAATTAAAAGCGATTTCCATCCAAATGCAGTGGTAGTGGTTCGCATTTTCTTATTCCCTACCTTGGAGCAGACAAAATTCTGATCTTCACTCTGAAATAGTTTTCTACTGGTCCATGGGTATTGAAGAATGCTAGATGAGATGATGATATATAAGAAGAAGAAAAATTCAGCCTTCAATTCTAGCTGTCTTGATCTGGTTTACTTTTAAACAGGTCTCTTGGCCTCTATGAATTATAGATTTTGGGCACTGTATTCAAGTGAGGGATTAGTCCTTTCCAATAGCTTCGTGGCTCCCTAAGCAGGAAAGAGAGGAGAGGAAGACTCCCCCAAAAGAAAAAAAAGCACTAAATGAGTAAGAAGAAGCAGACATGTCCCTCTCCAGCTGCCTCCCTTTTAAAGACACCACCCTGGATTTGCCATTTGCAAAAAACCAGCAGAGACTTCAAGCCAGTGGTGGATTACTGTGTGCCACCTAAAATAACTGCCTAGTGCTTTTAAATGAAGTAGGGAAGCCGAGTATTCCTCCTCCTTCTCCTCACCCGGGACCCCATGGCCTTGTCAAAACAAATATGCTCCACCTCGGAGTAGTTCTCCGGCTTCGTGAAGCAGATGTTTGGGTTTTTTTAGACTTTGCTTGGAGAGAAGTGCGAGACCGGGGCTTCTCATGGCGTGAGGCAAGTTTGCTCCTAGGGTCCCAGTCCAGCTGTGGGAAGGGGTCAGAGTTCAGGACTATTTGCCTCAGGTTGCCAGGGCTTGCACATTTCTGAAACTGGAATGCGCTCTGTTTGGAGGCATCCGGCATGTCTGCTCACCTCTAGACCAGGCCTGTCCCCTCTCATTGAATTTTTAGGGAGGGAAGCCCTCTTCCCGTTTTAATTGCAGTCTCCAGGGCTTTGTCTGGAAAGGAATTGATATGCAGTGTGTCTTCTGCAGACATGACTTAGCCAGCCAGCCAGCCTTACTGCCCGCCAGTTGCGGAGAGGCATTAATTACATTGACAATGGCCAAGAAACCTGATTAATACAGAGGAATTCCCGGGGAGAAGATGCAGGTCCATTCCCAGCGCTAAAAACTCCTTTGGCAGTCACTCATTCTCTTGCTTCAGTTCCCTCATCGTGAAATGCGGAGAACTCCCAAATGGACTATTTTCAAAGGATGAAATGCTATCCTTGGCTTTGATGCCCATGGCTTATTTATTTCACATATTTGTAGCCTGCCCTTCTTACCCTAAAAGGCAGAGATTCAATGCCAATACATATAAATATAAAAATAAACAATACAATTAAAATCACGTAATCCAGATCGTAGTCCAAGGCCTGTCCAATTGTCAATTCCATTAGTCCATTATGCTTATTGCAGTATTTACTGGTTGAATGCTTGGTCCCACAGCCACATCTTAAGCTTCTTCCTGAAAGACAGGAGGGAGGTAGCTGACCTGATTTCATTGAGGAGGGAATTCCATAGATGAGGGGCCACCACTAAAAAGGCCCTGTCTCTCCTCCCCACCAATCGTGCTTGCGAAGGGGGTAGGATCAAGAGCAGGGCCGCCCCAGATGATCTTAACTTTCATGCTGGTTCATAGAGGGCGATACGTTTGGACAGGTAAGCTGGGCTGGAACCGTTTAGGGCTTTATAAGCTGAATCCAGCACTCAGCATGTTTGATGGGAAACATGGAATGAAATTCTCCTGCAATTCCAGCATGACCATACAGACGAAAACTGCAACTCTTTAGATCACCAACTTTTTTCTGACCAGTTAGATTGTCGTTAATAATAACAATAATAATAATGTCTTGTTTATATCCCACTCCCTCTCCCCAAAGGGACTCGTTTCCCCATATGAACTGCCAGCAGATCCCAGAATTATTGGCATGACAGTGTGCCGTAACCTGATATCATAACTGTACTCCTCCCATTAGATGTCATCTCTTCAATAGAAATATGTGCCACATGTAAAATAGTAAAATTAAGTATTCTGGATTTCCTTTCACATGCTATTTATCAGTGGATAAAGCTGCATAACCATTCCGTCCTTGGAGGCAAAGTCTCCTGGGATGTTCTTTTTCTTTCTGTTGTGGTTCCACCTCCTTGCTAATGGGGTGTTTTTTCTCTCCTGCCCAGTGTTCAGTCTGCAAGACCTCTGCTGCCGGGCCATTGTCTCCTGCACCCCTGTCCACCTTATAGACAAGCTGCCCCTCCCGGTCACCATCAAAAGCCACTTGAAGTCCTTCTCCATGGCCAATGGCATGAATGCGGTGATGATGCACGGCCGGTCATACTCCTTAGCCAGCGGAGGCAGCGGGAGCAGTAGCAAAGGCAACAGCCTGAAGCGCTCCAAGTCCATCCGTCCACCCCAGAGCCCCCCGCAGAACTGCTCGCGGAACAACTGCAAGATCTCTTAGTGGGCTGGTGCCAGGGCACGTCTCCTCCAGCCGCACAACCCCTGCACCTGGTCACCAATGTACAGATGTTGACATGCACGTCACCTGCTCCTCTGTCGCTCTGCCTCCCCAGTTGTCCAAGGGTGTGTGGACCACCTGACAGGATCCCACAGGGGCAGAGCATGTTGCATCCCAAGCCACCTTGACCAGTGTGCGGTAGGCCTTTCCCTGCTCCGAAGAGGTGACTGCATAGCTGCCTCGAGGGGATGACTGTTTCTCAACCTCATTCTGAGGATGGAGGTCGTGGGAGAAGGGACTTCTGTGCTGTAACTTTACCGTTTGGGCGCTGGAATGAATTGCCAGTGCTACAGACAACACTCGGCTCTTTTCAAACAGGCGGGCGAAAGAAACAGGCCGGGATTGGGCAAATTCAGCTCAGGTGGAGTCCTGCCTTGATCCAAGAAAGACTATGGCTGGCTGGGGGTCCTTTGGAAGCAGGCCACTTGGAATTCTCCACTTATTTATCAAGGAATTATCTCACTACTTTGAAAAGTACTCCTACAATGTCCCCTTTCCTGATTTTTTTTTTTAAGGAAGGCTTTTGGGGGAGAAATCTTGTAAATATAATCATAAAATCTTGAATGCAAAAGCTAATTGAAGTAGGGAGGGAGTTGGCACTGGTCAAAGGGTGAAATGATCAAACAATCTTGAGAATTGTATAAGCGAAACAGGGTTGCTCTTGTGGCTTTTTGAGATTTGTATATGTGAAAAGAAGGAAGATTTTCTTTTCTTGCCGAACAAAAGTTTGCCAGACATTCCTTATAATAAGTGCATGGCTTAAATGGACAGCGAGAGCAAGATTTTGAAGGACATTGTGGGTGGGCAGTGGTTGGGAGTGGGGGTTTTGTGGACACATCTGGGATTGGTTAATTACTGCTCTGGAGCCAGGGACCCCGAGTCAAAAAGTTGGCCTGCCCCGTATCTCAAACGAGATCATGGCAAGGAAGAGGGCGATTACATTGAGATATGCTGCTCTTTTATGGCCTTGAGGCCCACAGAGATTCCTGAGCTCAGCCTCTCCCGCAGCATGCAATGCTCTTCTGGTCAGACATATTTGCATGTCTTGGCACTATTGAGCGGCCTTGAGCAGCTTGCTTTGTGGCTCTGATCTTACCCTACTACCCAATGGATCTTTCCATAGAGGGGCAAAGCAGCATAGGAATCCCAGTCATCTTAGAAATTCATTTCTGGTTACCCTTTGCTTTTCAAGGATCCGTTTTGTCACCCAACATGGGCACAGTATGAAAAGGCCTCCTAATGTCAGTTGCAGGGATGAGTCTCTTGCGATGAGAAACACTAGGCCACCAAACCTATACATTAGATGGCCTCAGTACAGTTATAAATCTATATCAGGCATGGGCCAACTTCAGCCCTCCCTCCGGGTGTTTTGGTCTGTAACTCCCACAATTCCTAACAGCCTCAGGCCCTTTCCTTTTCTCCCTCAGCTGCTTAAGCGGAAAGGGAAACGGAAAAGGAAGGGGCCTGAGGAATGGTGGGAGTTGAAGTCCAAAACACCTGGAGGGAGGGCCCAAGTTTGTCCATGGTCTATATGGTGTTGAGCTGAGCATCTTCCTTTGGAGTCCATCCATGTTAGGATCCCATATCCCTGATCCTAGTTGCAGCTTCTTGGGGGAAAGGGCCCCTCTGTGCACTCTTGCTCTCTGTTCACCTTGATTGTAAAGGCTTTTGGAGTTGCCTGAGCTGCTGTTAATGTTTTTTATCACATAGGATTTTCAGGCTTGGTTGGAATTCTATGTTGCATGTCTGTCTGCAAACCTGGTTGGGAAATTCCTCTCAGTCTGTGTCAATTTAGAGAGAGGAATTTGACGGAAAATGACGTGAAAGTGGATAGAGGACCAAAGTGTCTTGAGTGATACAGCTTGTGTGAGTGGCATTGGGGTGAGCACTTTGAGTCAGCTGCCAGCATCTCCTGGGTTTTTCCTCCACTTACTCTTGGACCTGATGAATGTGTCTTGTCACAACAATCGCCTGGCTCAGGTGAGGGGCCAGCGCATTGTGGATTGTGAGTTGGAATGGGTGGCATGATGCTGCCGGGCTCTCCCTGTGCAGCTGACTGCCCATTTTGTTCTGGAGTGCCCGAGAGAGGCCTGGCTGTGTCTTCTTGATCGCTCTGAGGTGGCTTGGTATGACGGGTGGGCCGGGCCCTGCCCTGCCCCTGGCAGGCGCTCAAAGAGGGCGACGGGGACAGGTCAAGGGCAGGGGAAAGCCTTTAGCGGCATCTCCTCGGACCGGGAACAAAGCCGGAGCCAAATCCAGGCCAGGAGCATGGAGGCTTCGAGATTTGCAGGGCATGCCTGGGCCGCCGTGGCCACCTGTTCCCACTTTCTCAAAATGGAGTGGAAGACAATCACTGACTCAACAGGCTGGCATTCTGGGGATGTGCAGTGAACAGGTGATCTCGCAAGCAGGCAGGACAGCCATCTTTCCACCCTAGTTTTAAAATAGCCCCTTTCCAAAACAGCTATAGAATGTGTATTGTGTTTTTCTGAAGAGGAGCAGCACCCTCTCTTCTCCCTCCTGCTTGGCGGGCTGTAAATCTTCCCTGTTGTCTCTCCAGCATCTGATGTGATGCGGTGGTGTCCTTTGTTGGAAGAGTTGGCCATGCACATTGGTCGGATTGGAGAGCAGAGGATGCTGCTGTCGGCCATCGAGAAACACTTTTCAGTTCCCCGCTCTCTGACTTAATATTTTCAGTCTCACTTCAGTGTCTGTCTGAATGCCTCACTCCGTCTTAATCGTAGCAAGTTCTTTGGGACGAGTTTCTTTCGATTGTCTGCCAATCACACCACTGAATTTGTACCCGATTTTATTAATGTTGAACTCAAAAGAATGTGATATCAAAACACTAAAAAGTAGCTGCTGTCAAACACTCGTACCATTCCTGTTTTTAATCCCTCTGTACAGTAAACGTCACCAAAACTGATGGTTTTTATATTAATTAAAAGAGAGAGAGAGAGACTTGTTTTAAAAAACCTCCCCTCGGGCTGTGGAAGTTGTCGGCAACAATGAGCAAATGAGCTCTCCAAGGGATGTTGCTGAAGGACAGTGCGAGGGCAGCAGAGGAGTGGGAGGGGGCCTTGGGTTGGATTTGAGGGGATATGGGGGGATTGTGGAGGGGGTTCCTCCCAGGAGGGAGCAGTGGAAAGAAAGCACTCTGCTAACTGCCTCATTTGAGACGAGCAGGCATTTGGCCGTGGAACGAAAGCTTGGAGGATCAAAGTGGAATGCCTTCTTCACACTTGTGCGGATGAGAATCGCCAGCCTGTGCCAAGGGAACCGAGCCTTTGCTTGCTGCTCTAGAGATCCCTGGTGTGTGTTTTTTTAAAAACACACTTAAGCCTTTGAAAAAATAAGAAACTCAAGATTTATATCCTCCCTTTCTTCCCTCCTGGAACTCGAGGGAGCATCCAAGTAGTTGCCCTTGTTGATCAAACCCAGACTTGTTGAGGTTCAGCGAGACCTTCTGGCCATGCCTGGCTGCTGACGAACCCTGTCAGTTTCAAAAAGAGAGATATGGAACAGACACAACAGACCTTCGGAGCAAGAGATATCAGACCCCTGCTAACATGATTGAGGTCAATATTCAATGTTATCTATTGAAGTTGGACCGGACCCCCCCCCCCCCAGTGGTGCAGTGGTTTAAACCTCTGAGCTGCTGAACTTGCTAACCGAAAGGTCGCAGGTTCAAATCCAGGGAGTGGGGTGAGCTCCTGCTGTCAGCCCCATCTTCTGCCAACCTAGCAGTTCAAAAACATGCAAATGTGAGTAGATCATTAAGGACTGCTCTGGCGGGAAGGTAACGGCGCACCATGCAGTCATGCCGGCCACATGACCTTGGAGGTGTCTACTGACAACGCCGACTATTTGGCTTAGAAATGGAGTTGAGCACCAACCCCCAGAGTCAGACACAACTGGAATTAATGTTAGGGAAAAACCTTTACCTTATTGCAGTTATCTTTTTCAATCAGTGATGAAACTTTATGGAAGGGAAGGGTACAAAGCAGGCATGGGCAAACTTCGGCCCTCCAGGTGTTTTGGACTTCAACTCCCACAATTCCTGCTAGGAATTGTAGGAGTTGAAGCCCAAAACACCTGGAGGGCCAAGGTTTGCCCATACTTGTTAAAAAGAATATGTATGTATCTGAACATCTTTGAGGACTAAACCTGAGCATCCTGCATTCCTGTCTTTTCAGCAAAGGAATCATGGTTGTGGAGCTTGAGTAAATACACAACTCTTGTTTACCTGAAGAAGAAAGAAGAACCTTGTTGTAGGGCACCTAGCCCTGTGGCTATCCATTGCAAAGCCCCCCTGTCTCAATGTTGCCTCTGTTAAAACATTAGGTGCCCTAAAGCCTGTTACCCTCCAACTGGATCCCATCCCATTTGCAGCATAAGCAAAACACTTTTAAGCCTCATGATCTTTTAACACCAAGGTCCCACATATTAAGAAAAATCATGATCACACTTTCTGAGGATGTAATAAGTGGCTATGTTAGCCAGCATAAAATGTCCCAGATCTTCAGAAGCTGATTCAACCGTCTCTGTATATGCCTTTAAGTCTCCATTAATTGCATGTGGTTTCCTTTAGGCAAGGACTATAGGGTGGTTTGGTTAGTTCAGTTGAAATGCAGCCTTCAGCCCTAGGGATTCATTGGTAATTCCTATCGAGTATTCACCAGAACTGACCTTGTGTAGCTTCCAGAATCAGACAGGATCTGGTGCTTTGAGGGTATTGTCTGATTTCTAACATTGGTTACAGCCATTGCCATGAGAATACACAACGTTCACAGGTAATATGAAACTTTAGTTTGCTTTTCTATAAAAGCTGGACATTTTTACACTACCACTGCTACTTCTCCATGAAGAGAAAATGAAGAATTTTGCTTCTGTGTTGCTGTTTTTAAATACGTTTCTTGTTACACCCAAACTTACATTCTTCTGGTTTCCTTTTAGTGAGCAGAATCTTGCATTACCATATCATCCTTGCATTAATCATGGTTTGAATTAAGCAGAATTCTCCTGAGTTTGGCATAGAAGGAAGAATAGTGAAATTGAAAAACAGAAGCAAAGGCTTCCTAGCTTGACTCTGACCCACATCATCTAATAGACTCCCAAATGTGACATTAAATCATAGCTTATTGCAATCTATACAAAGCAGTGTTCCATATCATTCTGTAGCTGGAGTAATGGAGAGATGAACACAATCTTATGCATGTGACACTGAGCCTATAGTTTACTGTTACATCCAAAACGTCTCATTGGATCGCATAGGTCTGAATCAAGCTGCTGTTGAGAGGTCCAAGAAAACCAGTAGGCACACACTCCCTCTTTCCAGTTCCCCCCGGAGATCCTCCACCAAGGTGACCAGTGCTGTCTTGGTCCCATAGCCAGGCCTAAAGCCCGACTGGGATGGATCTAGATAATCCATTTCAACCAGGAGCCAGGTGTAGCAAGTGGTGATGAAGAGAAAGGAAGCCAAGATGGTGAGGCGGGGGCCCCTTCTACATCTGTGGTTTCTTTTTTAAAAAGGAAAACAAAAATGGGAGAGAATAAGCAAACATGTGGATGCTCCCCTCACTGCTCCGGAACGTGCCCAGGACACTCTCGCCCCATGGAGCCTGTGCAAAGGCGTCCGTGTGATTTCAGGTGCAACTCAGAAACAAACAACGGAGGAGATGACGGCACACTTGTGCCGTACATTCTGTTTCTGGGCAGATGGCCTTTGCCTGGAAGGGGTGCAAGGGGGGAATCGGAGGCAAGTCTCAACCACGATGCGCCTTTCTTCCTGGATACAGCTACCAATAACACTATGGAACACTATGGTTTTTGTTCCTGGGTTATAAATGTAATTTCCTAATTGGTTCTATCATAAAACACATGGGGAAAGTTTATTAAACTACAAAGACTTTGTTTCTGCGGAAGGGTCATCATCCCGCAACAGCACATTTTGCTCCAGTTTTCCAATGAATCTCTCATTGTCGAGTCTCAACCCATTCAACATAGTTGAATGCCACAAAATCAAAGTTCCTGGAATAAAACAACCACTTTCAAAGTCAGTGCCACACAGTTAAACAGGAAATAATACTCTCAAACCAGGAACAGAAGAAAAAAAATCAAATTTTGTTACATAGTGTAATTGTTTTCCTGCCTCGTTGCTTTGGCATCAAAAGAGATCTGCCATGATACTTTCCGACAGCAATCTTAACATTTGCTTGGCTTCTGATGCACAAAGATCTCTGAATGCCACTGTGATTTTTCTTGAAAATAATGCTTGAGGATCGTTTTTGGTGGATTTGCAAACACACTGATCTATAATAAGGACACAAGTGGAGGTATAGATGAAAGTACGTGTGTTTCAAAAATCCACAGGTATACTGCTACTTTATGCTGACATTGCAACTCAGTAAGTGAGATATTTCTTATGGATAAGACCTGTGTTACACAGCAGTGGCAAGATGATGTGTATCAAAGGGCCCTCAAGCAACACTTTTACTTGATTGTTGCATGACTGAATGTCATTCATTGCAGCCCTTCAAGTCTGGATGCTGTGGACTAACTACCAGCAACTCTAGCCTGAACAGAAGCTCTCTGAAGCTTTAGGTGCTCTTACTGCCTATTATTGGAAAAACCAGCTGATTCCCAATTAATCTAAAATGCAGATATGTACTTTTCACCTTAAGAACAGACAAGCTTCTTGAGCTCAGAATTACCTGGGAAGGAATCCCACCGAAGCATTGCAACACACCAAACTCCTGGGAGTCACACTGGACCATGCTCTGATTAACAAGAAGCACTGCTTGGCTATCAAGCAAAAAGTGGGTGCTAAAAATAATATCATATGAAAGCTGACTGGCACAACCTTGGGATCATAACCAGACACAGTGAAGACATCTGCCTTTGCACTTGGCCACTCTGCTGCTGAATATGCATACCCAGTGTAGAATACATCTCAACACGTTAAAACAGTGAATGTGGCTCTTAATGAGACATGCCACACTATCACAGGATGTTTGCACCTAACACCGCTGGAGAAATTACACTGTTTAGCCGGTATTGCACCACCTGACATCCATCGGGAAGTAGCAGCTTGTAATGAAAGGACCAAGGCAGTGACATCTTTGACCCATTCTCTGTTTGGATATCAGTCGGCATGCCAATGCCTTAAATCAAGAAACAGCTTCTAAAGATCTACAGAGAAACTCACAAGAACACCTCAGCAAGCGAGTGTCCAAAAGTGCACTCTGGCACCAAGAAATGCAGAGCTAACCTTAAGAAATGGGGCTACAAAGTGCAGTCCACGACATGCAAGTGCGGAGAAGAGCAAACCACAGACTGCTTACTACAGTGCAGCCTGAGCCCTGCCACATGCACAATGGAGGACCTCCTTACAGAGACACCAGAAGCACTCCAAGTGGTCAAAGGAAATTTAGCATAATGACAAGTTTTTAACTTTATGGTTTTTTAAATACATTATAACTGTATTCTTAATTTGCTTCTGACACAATAAATAAATAAATAGCCTGTAACGTCCTTGGTGAAGGATGCCTGGGACTGCAGTCAAACCCTTTCCTGGCAAGCCACTGCCTCTTGGAGGAGACTCCTAAGCAACTGGGACAACAATACAACAAGGCAAGTTCCAAGGAGGAAGAGTCAGCCATCTGTTTTGGACAGCCGTCTCATATATGCATCTCATTCTGGTCACAGACCTGTATGCTGAACTGTGCCATCCATACAATGAGAGGCTGGGGTGCATAAACGCATCAGTATGCTGGCCTCTGATTAGCCTCATTTGTGTTGTTCTCCTTCTCCTTTGAGATGCAGGACAAGTGCCCCAGCTCCCAGGTCAAGGGGCAGAGGTGGCAGAGGTCATGTGAGAGGCTCTTGGATCAAATACCAGCGACAAAATGCTTCCTGAGTGTTTTGGTGGGCCTCTCTCTGCTGGCCAGCATATGCTCTGTTGCTGTGAAACACAGAGGTTGCTGCCCGCTGCCTTGATCCCAGCTACTGGCCTTTGATGTGTCCGTGGCATGGAAGGGAGGCATCCCAGTATTGCATTGGGGAGGAATGGGGGGACGGGTGGGATGGCAAGCCCTGGTTCTGTCGAAAGACATTGCTCTGCGAATGCAAAACAATTTAAACTGAGGAATGAGCCACATGGGAGGGAGGTCAACCTGGACTGGGAGAAGGAAGAGCTTAATGGGAGGCAGTTTTCTTTGGAGGAAACCAATACTTATTCTCATTATATTTATTTATACCCCACTTTGTCTTTCCTGCAGGAGGCTCAAAGTGGCTTAACATAAAAGCATCGCCATACAATTTAAAATATACAAACATGCAAACATTAAAACAGGATTAAATATAACAAATATTTTAAAAATTCACAGTTAAAAACCATTAACACATGTTCCAAGTTGATCCTTGACTTTTAATCGGTTACATTTCAGACTACAACCACCAAAAACAGAACAGAAGAATGTGAGAGCTTCTTAATTTGATTGTGAGATGCACACTTTTAGGATCACCTTCGTATTGTCAAGTTTCTTCTGTGAGTTGAACTCACTTATTCCCATCTTTG